GTAAATTCTTTAACAAGTGAAATTGAAATTATTGAATCAAATATATCTATTCATAAAGCAAAGTTTAATTCTTACGTATTCAACTCACTGATGAATATACTTGTTGGCAAAAATATTGAGATTTGGGATTATGTTTGGGATTGAAATTTGGGATTGGGATTTGGGACAATTTTATTATCTTTGGGATTTGAAAAGCATTACTGACAAATTTGAAACATAACAAATCAAATGAAAGCATGAGTTAGGCATTTTGTCAAATGTAAAAAATTTTATTAGCCAATCAAATTTAAAATATCCATTACACTTATTAATAAAAAAATTATTTACAATATATTGAAAGATAAAAAAAGAAAAAATAATAAAACTAACAAGCACTACCTAATTTTCAATTACTATAACCAACTAATTAATAATAAATTTAATATCAAAACTAATTGGTAATTAAAAAACCATTAAACTCTCAAGATAATGCATACTTTTAGAATCAACAAACGTATAATTATTTGTTAAAATAAAATATCTAATATATGTTGCAGATTCATGATAAACTTTCTTTTCAAAGTAATTCCAATAAAAAAATCCATCCAGATAATACATTATATATTCTATTTTATTGGCTTCAATAATTTTCTTGTAACGGTCAAAAAAAGTAATATTTTGAAACTTTACAAATCTATTTTTTGAATAACTAATAATCTTTGCATACTCCACTTTGATAGAAAATTCGCTATCATACAAATATGAGTAAAATTCAACAGGAGTATCATCAATAAGTTGAAAATATACATTTAAATTTTTTTCATTAGGAATTGTTAAATAAAAGGGTGCAATTATTTCATAATTTTGAATGATAGAAGTCTCTTGAATTTTAAAATCTTTGTAATATTCTGAAACCATTTTTTTTTTAAAAACTTTCTTTATAAATCAAATTCTTTTTATTATGCATAACTTAATCATGTGCAGAATTAAAATTTCTAATCCTCTGTATAAATCTTAAATTATATTCTTTTCTCATATTTTTAATTAAGCCACAGCATACAAATCACTTTCATTTTAAAAGTAGTCTAACCACTTTAATTTTACAATACAATTTGTTCGTATAATAAATTTAACCAGTTTAACTAAAACTCAGGTTTATAAAGTAAATATATGAAATTATCAAGTATAAAT